GTAAAATTACTGATTATAGGTAAAGAGCATAAAATTAAACCAGTATTTTGAAAACCTGTCTTAAAAAGCAATTAGGACTACTTCTAGGTAGACCACTTTTATGTTGAATGAGGCTTTCTGCATTAGTGTGGAATTCCCCTGCTTCAAGATCTGGTGAGTTTGTGGTCTTTGGTCCTGTTCCAGACCCTGGCAGAGCAGGAGGCCGTTCCCAGATGTGCTCAAACACCCATTAAGGAATTAACTGTCCTCCTGCTGGCTCGCTCCCCCTGCTCTTTGGCAGACAGCTGGCTGAGTCCCACTCCATAGCGATGGGTGTTCTTTTCTCTCTCTATTCTTTGATCGTTTCCAGGGTTTCTTCCAGACCCTCGTGTCCCTAAAAGCCATGCCGGCCTCCACCTCTGGGTGCCTGCTGCGGTCGGCCTCTGCAGGCGTGCTCACCTCGGGGCCTCCGTCCTCTCAGCTGTGCAGTGAGGAAAACATCTTTTCCGGTGCTCGAGAGACAAATACAGAGTGCCTGTTATGTGAGGGGATGCAGGCGTGTCCTGGGTGACCCCAGATCTCTACCCTGGAAGAAGAAGATTAGGGACTGGGGTGGGGAACACAGCAAACTAACAGTAGTAACGTTGCCACAGCCTGTTCTCTGATTAAAAGTTGGAAATAAACCTGAGTGACTCCCAGCCGTGCTCACTGTGAAGCCTGAGCGTGTGACCCAGCAGAGGACGGCCGGGCCTTCCAGCCCCCCCGATGGGCAGGCCTCCTGAACTCTGCCTCTCTGACTTTGACTCACTTGGGTCAGAACAGAGGTTCAACGTGGTCTTAGACCCTTGACTTCACCTCTCCCAGCTCTGGGGTGTCTGGCCCGCGTCACCTGTGGGCCTTGGCTGTGGTGTTGGAGGTGGACGTGCCTCTGTCAGGCAGGAAGAGCCTGTGGTGGCAGGACGGCGGTTCAGCCTCAGTGGCTCGAAAAGATGTGAAGTGCCTTGGAGTCTCGCCGCCCGCCTCTGTCCCGCCCCGGCCTTCGTACAGCGGCCGGCGTGGGAACCTCCCTGCCTGCTCCATGGCCAGGCTGCGGTCCCATCTCCAGATCAGGGCCCAGAGGCTGTGGTGAAACGAGAAGGCTCCTCCCCTTCCTGAACGGCTGGGACCCTTGGCTGACCGCACCCCCGCGTTACCGCCAGCGCCTGGGTGAAGCCAGTTCACACCTGCGGGTGCCAGGGCTCCCGGCTCTCGCTTCACCTGGACTGTGTGTGCCTGGCCCGCGCTGGGTGCAGAAGTCATGGTCACCGCCCTTTAGATCAGGCCCCTGGTTTACAGAAGACTGTCTCCTCTCAGCATTGTGCCAAAATAAACCTGAGATACTAAAATAGATGTTTATAATTTGTACTGTATGTTCTCTGACCCAATAGTTCCCACCGTGGGAATTTCTTCATCAGAAGTGTCACAAAGACCTCTGTGTGAGGAGGTTCATTTCAACATTCACTATAGTAATAAAAAAAACCCCAGAAGCATCCTTGTCTGATACAGTCACGGACATCCAGTCGGCAGGATGCCGGCCACACTGCAGCCGTTCCGGCAGAGTCCGTGCGCTGACTGCGTGGACGGGGCCCCCACGTGTTCAGCAAGGCTGCAGCAGACGGTGGGCAGCAGGTCTGGACCAGTGTTGTCACTACGGGTGGCCTCGCCCCGCGGGACATCAGGCTGTGCCTGGAGGTGGTGGTGGTTGTCACGCGGGGGGCGCGCTTCTGCAGGCACCGGCCGGGCGGGCGCTGAGTGCCCTGTGACACCCAGGACGCCCGAGGTGGCAGCAGTGTCGGGGCCAGGACACCCTGAGGTGGCCAGATACGCTTAACAGCTTTACTGAGATGTGACTGACACATCGTAAGTTGTACCTGTATTAAGTGTATGATCAGTAATTCAGCTTTAGAGCATTTATTTCCAAAAGGTCCTCATGCCTGTTTGCGCTCAGTTCCCCTCCCCGCCCTCGGCTGTCCACCTCTTACCTACTGACTCGATCGATTTACCTTTTCTGGACCTTTCCTGCAAGTGGAGTCATCGCTGTCTAGTCCCTTTTTCTCGGAGATGCTGGTGTCAGCGGCTCCTTCCTGTCACAGCCGAGTCACATCCACCGCGGACGGGCCTTCGGCTGCTGCCACACTCACATGCGGGTCGGAGGTGCCCAGTCCTTCCTCCCGGCTGGGCCCGCAGCAGCGGCGCTGCCCTAGCAGTCAGTTCATGTTAACGTTTAGGAAGCTGCCGGACTGTTTTCCAGAAGAGCTCACCGTTGTAGGCTCCCACCGCGCTGTGGAGTTCCTACCTGCACCTCCCCGGCCCCCCTGCACCTCCCTGCACCTCCCCGGCCCTTCCTGCCCTGCTGGCTGCTGGGTGCTGGGTGCTGACGGCTGTCCTAGTGGGCGCGGGGGTCTCCGTGTGGACTTGTTCCGCGTTTCAGTGCCCGGTGGTGCGGAGCGCCCTTTCCTGGGCTTCTTGGCCATTCTCATGTCTTCTTTGGTGAACTTAAGAACTTTTGCCCATTTTTAAACTGGGTTGTCTTCTTATTCAGCCCTCAAGGTCTTCGTGTATTTTAGATACAAGTCCTTTGTCAGGCAATGTGAGATTTAGATGTTTTCTCCCAGGCTGCAGCTCTCCTGTCCGTCTCCTGACGGGGCACTTTGAAGCTGAGGCGTTTTAATTCCTGTGAAGTGCAGAGCGGCGGTTATTTCCTCGTATGGGTCATGCTTTCGGTGTCACACGACCCCAGGTTACAGAAGTTCTCTCAGACGTTTTCTTTCAGAAGTTTTATATTTATAGCTCTTACATTCAGGCTTTTTGGCCCATTTTGGATGATTTGGGGGTGTGGCTTTGGGTAGGGGGCCAACTTTATCCTTCAGCGGGTGGCAGTCCAGTTGTCCCGCACCGTTTGTCGAAGAGAAGATCCTTGCTGCGTTGGGTTACCGTGGCACCTTTGTCAGAATCCGTTGACCCTGACTGTGAGGGTCTGGCCGTGGGCCTGACTTCTGCTTCGGTGCTCTGTCCGTCCTCCCACGAGCACCACACGGTCTCCATCGCTCTAGCTCGTAAGTTCTGAAATTGGGAGTGTGGTGTTCTCCCTTTTCAAGATTGCTCTGCCTGTTCTGGGTCCCTTGCCTTCCTGCTGGAATTTGGGGAGCAGCTTGTCAGTTTCTGTGGAGAAGCCAGCTGGGATTTTGAGAGAAGATGCTCTGAGTCTTCAGACCAGTGCGAGGAATACTGGCACCTTAACGATCCTGAGTGCTCCAGTCTGTGCATGTGGAATGTCTCTCCATTTATTTAGGTGTTTTAAAATTCCCCGCAGCAGCGCCATGAGACATTTTTAAAAAATAACCCAGTTTTGTGGGTGCGAGCATGTGAATTCACGCCCACAGAGGCAAGCCTGGGAGAAGAGTGGGGCTTGCCGTGGCTGCGGGGTGACTTGGGAGGGGCAGTCCGCGAGGAGTTCGCCTGCTTTCCTGTGTATACTCGTGTGTTTGAGTCTTCTCTGACCCTCCTACTCATTCTGGGCAAGGTCAGAGTTTATGTCCATCCAGAATGCACTATGAAATTCATATGATTGATGGACTTACTTTGTGCACTTTAAGTATAGTTAAAGTGTATTTGATTTGAAGTTTTCAGAAATTTCTGTTGCAGCCAAAATTCGGAGATGACTCTTGGCTCCTTTTGAGCAGATTAAATCCTGAAAATAATCACATGGAAGAAAGCCTGTGTTTGTTGCTTCAGTGATTCCTGACAGAGGCGCCTGTCCTGCCCTCCCCCAGCTCCCAGCGCTGGTTCTTTACGTCCGGGTCCGGGTCGCTGGGGTTGCTTAGTGCGCAACAGAAGAGGAAACGCCAGCAAAACAGCTGCCCGGGTCGTTCCCCGAGACACGGCGCTGAGGCAGGGCTGCTGCCAGCTGGGTGTAGACGTGTAGCCCCGCTGGGACCAGCAGACGCCAGGACACAGGCTGCGGGGGCACTGCCTGGGTGACAGCTCCCTGCGCCCGGCCTGCTTTCCTGCGGTGGGGGCA